AAGCGAGTACACAGTCCACCTGATAGACGGCTGGCTACGTTTATCCTTGTTTGCGGATCAAAATGCAGATGCGTTGTCACCCGTGAGGACTAAGATGGAATGCCTCTTTTCCAGTAAAAAGGGTCTCCGGTTCTCTACACTCACCATACAAAACACAGCAGCATTAGGCTCTTATTTTACACGGGTATTCTGTGAGAGCGTGGTCCTTCCCCAGGCGAGCCGACCCATTCGTGCTACAACTATACAATTAATATAGCTGCAGCATGGCTTTACCACGTTTATTTGTATACGATATTACAACAAAGTGACCCAGAAAATATACAAGGTCTCTCTATTACCAAGTTTAAATATTTTATTAAACAAAAGCTGTATACTCTAATATAATAAATGAATACACTTGACACGGCTGATAAAAACCCCTGGGAACGAGGTGATCGTTTCCAAGCTGTTACTTAAATAACTTTTGTAAGTAGTTTGCACAACCTGTGTTTTATTATAATAATATGTGCAAATTTTACTTTGAAAAACAAAAGTCCCACTGTGTTTCTTGCTGGTTCTTCCCAGGACGGAGGTTCTTCCGAACCAGTGGTAAAGTAAAAAATTACTTTCAGTAATAATTACTTGTAATCTATATTGAATAAAAATTATTGTATTGTATACCTCAGATTTTCGTAGGAAATATTTATTAAGAAGACACATGCCGCGTTACTTGATACGTCGCCGATGACACCGAAACAACCTAATGTTTATAGTTCAGCTCAGGTAAATTTTGACAATGGGAATCGACACCGGGCGAGCCGTGTAGTGAATCAGTATAGTACGTACTCATAAATCACTCTCGTGCCGGTTTCCGCTCGCAGGTACTGTCACCTATGAATTATTCATTCAGTTCGTTTTAGAAGTCGGCAAGTGTCCGCCGCGGTCCATTCATCAATTCCTGGTACCGAGGCAGACTGCAATCGATTACTGTGAAACGTTTGCTCCGATGCCCAAATGATATCTTATGATTGTGTTTCTTTTTAGGTCTCAAAAAAGGTGGCGGTTCTGTCTTCATTTGTATGTATTTTTTTTTGTATGTTCACCGACTTCTTCGTCAATTGTGGACCGATTTTGATGATTATTTTCTTATTAAATAGGTTACGCTTTTTGGGAGCACTAATATAAAAACAATTCCTCCCCTGAGCGTAGCAAACTAGAAGATAAAGTTTTTAATGTAAGTATTTTAGACAATACATTTTAAGATTGTGATATTCCTTGTGCACTCAAACTGTTAAAAAAGTATACTTCGGGGCCCTTACTTCTTCTCTACAGTATACTTTAGCGCCGACTTCAGCTCGTGAAATTACTTTATTCTTCTTACTCGTAGTTCTTTGAGGGTCGGCTTTTAAATGTTATTTTTTTAGAACAAGCGGTTCGCTTGTACTCACGTTCATGTCAGCATAAATTGTATTTTTGCTCAATTTGCAATCGGGCCCTGCCGTTGCAATTTGGTGAATAATGAAGTGCAACTACGCGCGTGGCAGTCGCTGTCTCTGTTTTCCTAATTTTATTGCTAGACCGTCTGAGATTGTCGTCTAGTCTAGACATTCATAAAATCAAAGTCATACATGTTGCTGCAATAGTTTAGAGGAATATACTATTTCTCTTAAAATGTTCAGCGGTCATTGCCTTCGGAGCTGATTCCTATTGTTTGATCTGACATTTCTTTCATTCGCTTATTACAGTCTTTCAAAAGTCCCCTGCTGAACATAAGCCTTCCCTATATGTCTTCCAACCACAGTTTGTTACTTTTGTCAGTTTTTATTATAAAAATGCTGGTGCCCACCTCGTGCTACAATTTCCTTGCGTCGCCTCTCACGACACACACGGGATGATATGGGGTATTGGATAGATGTTTACGCCGACACTACACAACGAAATTCTGAAATTTGTTATAGTTTTGTTATTGATGTTTCGATTCATGACGTTTCATGTTAACGCTGATTGTTTAAATTTTCGACTTGTCTTTGATATATTATATATTTGTATATACCTGTAGTTATAATTTTATATAGTGCTTTGCCGACCTTTTAGAAAAGAGTAAGCTCGTTTTTTTAAGATGCTTAAGTCGTATCTGTAGTCTTGTGTTATTGTATTGGATTAGATTATAAAATTCACTTGCATGTGTTATCTATGTAAATATACGTGTGTTTTAAAAATTGTACCATCCTTATCTGTCCATGTTATAATCAAATAAATCTAATAAATAAATGAAAATCAAATTATGTACATTGTTACTGCATTAGAAGATGTTAAATTAGGCAAGTTCACCTCGTTTTATAGATAGAATTGGTGGTGACGAGGACGACTTGCATTCAAGGGATACCTTCTTCGAGCAATATAATATTGTTCTATCGAGTCGATGGCGGAGGGACTGTACTGATGGCAGGTACCGTGCCGCTAGCACGACCCCATTCCCACAGCGCGGTGCAATTAAAAGTTGCGGCGGCCCTGTGCGCGCTCTCTCACCATTGTGCATGGATTTTGCCTCTGACAACCTAAAACAGCTTCACCAATCCATCATTACCATCTTTACGCTGATGACCTGCAAATATATGTTCAAGGAGACGTCAACTCTTTATGTGACGCTATTGCCAGACTTAATATGGACCTAACGAATCTCCACAGTTGGTCTCGTAAGTTTGGTATTAGTGTGACCCCAATAAATGCCAAGCTATAATAATTGTCAGTGCTCAACGATTGTGTAAGCATGACGTCCATTGCGTTCCACCTGTCACGTTTGACAATTCAATTATTCTTACAGCGTTAAAATCTGGATGTCTACTTTGACACAACCTTAAGTTGGTCCACCCAAATTCAAAATATCAGTGGTTCTGTTTTTGCTAAGCTGAGTGCTTTGAACCGTCCCAGGAACTTTCTTCCGGTCAAATTAAAGATAACTGTGGTGCAATCTCTTATTTTGTCTATTATTGACTATGCTGATGTATGTTTTCCTGATCTCAATGAGGTTTTCCTTGATAAGTTGGATCGTCTCGTCAATACCTGCATCCGTTATATTTTTCGTCTTCGCAAGTTTGATCATGTATCCTCATTCCGCGCTCAGCTTAAATGGCTTCCAATTCGTCAGCGAACACGCATTAGGATACTTAACACGGTTTTTTATTCGATAACCACTATCCAAATTATCTGAAACAAAAGTTTCAGTTTCTGCGGGCAACTCATGACAGACAGCTTCGTTCATCGGAGACTCTTGTTCTCTTTATACCCCGTCACCGTTCGAGTTTCATATCTTCATCGTTTTCCTATGGAATAACCTGCCTGAAAAATTAAGACAACTTACCTGTAAACAAACATTTAAGAAGAATTTTCGAGATCATTTTCTAAAATTGCTTTACAACTAAGTGCTAAGTTCCGTCATCATTATTGTTGTAATCTCTGTATATTAGTTTCATCAGTATATTACCTATCTTTATGTATTTTGTATTATATTATATTTTCTTATAATATATAAATTTATATATTTGTGTATATTGATGCATGTATATATGTATATATAATATGTTTATGTATGTGTGTACGTATATTTCTTTGTAACCGCCTTCGTAGTTCTATTACTGCCCTAAAGTTGACTGGCAGATAATGCTTTTAGCATTCCCTGTCCTGTACTTTTGTTCATGTAATTAACATGTAAGGTCGAATAAAGTTTAAATAAATAAATCGTGTACTTCTGATCACTATATAGTATAACGATAATCGATTTGCGGCAGTGACACGAGCAATCGAAAATGTTCCGCTTGCCCAACTGCGACCAACAATTTTGATTTGATTCACACGGATCACGGACTATCGTGACGGCTAAGAAACTGTGCTCACGGTTGAACTCGTCGGGAGTTTTAACCTTTCGGGATTTAAGCTGCTGTAATCGATAATCTAGTGTCATTATCGAGGGTGAATACAGAGGAATACGTGAGTATATGTATGGACTAATCCGGATATCCTCTTAGCAATTTCAGATACATACACATTCAACAAATTACATGCTTAAAGCATTTAACTTTTAATAAGACTTGTCATATCTCAAAATGTTTCTGTAAACTTTTGCCGAATTTGTAAAAAGCACAGATTAAAACTGGTTTATTTCAAAAGCTCCAGTGAGCTTGCTTCGACGACCCCTCCCACCCACTCACTCACAGACAACAGCTGATCGCTCCTGTCTAGGCTGTTTGTTGTGATGCGCTGCGCTACTTTTGCTCTTGACGAAATTTACCGTCATAACCTTGTCGCGTCGGTCTTACGTTTCATTATAGGTATATAAATATATGTTTTGTAGAATAAGGATGACAAACGAGCACACAGTCCACCTTATGGTAAGTGGATGTCAGTGATTGCCCATAGACATCCACATTTATCCACTATTAAGAATCAAAATGCAGATGCGTTATCTCCCCTGAGGACTAAGGTGGAATGCTTCGTTTTCAGTAAAAAGGATCGCCGGTTCTCTGCGGTCACTATACGAAACACAGCAGCATTAAGCTGTAAGTAATTTAATTTGTACTGTCTGTCTGTGTGTGTGATTAACGTGTGTGATTAAATCATACTGTCTATAAGCGTATTTCATATTTTATGATTATGAAATCTTATTGCTGCATAATAGATAAAATCTTTACTACACGTAACACGTGAGTGTTACGTTATGTTATTACTTATTATTGTGCGCACATGGCTAGTTATTTTTATCGTAATTTGCTAGAACATTTTTAAGGAAATCAATAGGACGCTCGTATGAAGTCACGTCAGTTCGTCAGTCGTGTAAGTGGCGTGGGGTGAGGGTGGGGGCAGCGGTGGAAGCGAGCGCGGTCGCGTCGCGGTGAGTCCCGCGCAAACTGCGGCCCGAGTAGCACGTGCCGCGATGCTCGTCGAGCTGGACGCACTCTCATTTGACGTGAATGTTTCTCTCGCGGGCGACTAGTGCAGTGCAGTGTCGAGGTGGCATGTGAGTGATGCTGCGTTCAGCAGCGACGGGCGGCACGGTGGGCCTGCCGCCGCCACCACACGCGCGCCTCTCGCTTTTCGATTCCTGCCATCGCAAGATCCGGCTCATCGGCGGCGGACCAGTCGCCTTCCTCGGAGGACTTGTCGCGTGAGTGTCGCCACCACTACGGCTTTCGTGTGCTACATTTCACTTGATAAAAGTGTATTGAAACGTACATTTGATTTGCTCAGTTTGTTTACGGGGATTTTAACGAGATCCGCCATGTCGACGAAGCAATAAAAATGCTCGTGAAATGAGACGTTTCACGGCGTTGTACGGTACGTAATAGCCGAGCTGAAGACACGAAAGCGTAGATTGCCAAGTGCGGTGTACATTATGAACGGAACGGTGGTGGTGCAATTTCCCCTAACGGTAAAAGACAAAGCGCAAACCGCAAAACGGTTTCTGCGGCCCGTGACCGCTCTGCTTGTGCGCCGCTCTGCAGTACCTACCTACCTACATTGTGCTACATGGACTAAATTTATTGCAAACGATATAGAACCATTCTCAACTTATTTATTACCCGACTACCCCAGAAAGTGGTAATATTTTTCGAGTGTATGTACGTATGTCTATTTCTTCTGACGCTCTTTAACCTTAACGACTTGATGGATTTTAACATATGAAGTGTCGTTAGATTCGTCTAAATTGCGGGAGTGACATAGACTATGTAATATTTTATATATTGCATCTGTAAATGCAAAAAACGAAATGGGAGGGGAAGGTTTTTTTTTTAAATTAATTGCAATGTGTATCAAATAAAAAAAGCTAGTAAAGAGTAAAGAAAGAATAACAGTTAAAAGTTAAATAACAGTTTTATGCTACCGTTTTCGACATCTAAAACTTTTGTCTCGTCAGTAAACTTTTACGCAATCGGATTTTTTTTTAACTTTTCTTAACAGTTTGTCTGGGGAGGTACTACGGTACTACCCTCTTCCTGTTTCCACCACAAAGTGGGTAGTTAGTAGTGGTACGGCAAGCACTATGGTGGTTCGAGTATGATAAACAAGAATCTCAGTTATTTAAAAGATCACGAGGCATCCATCTAAGTGCTAGCAGGTGATGAGTGACGAGCAATGGTGGGCAAACTTTTGATGCTTCTGCACATCTGTTTCATTTTTCACTGTCGACACCCACCTGATATGGGTTAGTGTCAGTGGTGTATTTAGGTTCAAAACCGCCCTAGACTGTTGAAATTATCCGCCCTATTGGTATTGGCTATCGCAATTATACTTATATATATTATTTATTAAATAATTTAAAATATTAATACACGTTGCATTTAGTTATAAATTAAATGCTCAATTTTTTAGATAAATCGCTTATTTTTTTTTTTTTGGTATGGGACTATACTACACGTCAGTTTTTTAAATAATTAATTTGGCTGCCCTGGACTACAGCCCAAATTACGTAAATACACTCCTGGGTGGTGTTGAATAACAATCTTACGCCGCCACTAAACAGCGAACCTAGTGCCGCCTGTCAGTATTCTCTGTAACCTCTCCTCTACCCGTCGCGTGGTGACTTTGGTATTAAAGCAGTAAAAGCAATCAGTGGTATGTATATACATATTATTAATTGCTCATGAACACCCCACACCTGGAACACTCGAATATAGGTTATTGAATACTTGTTCATTGTGGGAGTTGAACCCATGGCATAACTTCAATGATTTACCCATGCTCTCCACTCTACCGGATACACGGGTTATTGCGTGCGGAACAGTGACCACTGTCACATAATGTTGTTCAGTGTTTTTGGATGGATTTTCCGGCACCAGTTAGTCAGAGGTGTACCGCTGGCAGGAGAGAAGTATTTTATTTAACTTCCCTACCGATTGAAAATTGTTAAAGCTTCGCTGTGTTTATTGCTTTGCGTCCCGATCTCGTCGACGACTCTAAAAGTTGCCGACCTAATTCGATGAATATTGTTTTATCTTTTCTATAGTGTTCTAAGCCAGCGCTTGACTACCGTCCCACCAAATGGTCAGTAGTGTTGCAACCGAAGATGGTGAAGCGCACATACTTAACAAAAGCCTATTCACTCTTGCCTTAAAGACACCCACACTGTAATCGAATGGAAAGACGAATGCTGGCAATTTATTCCAGTCTTTTGCTGTATGTATGGCGAACGGTGTAGCAAATCTTATTTTTATCTGTGGGTTTTGTTGGCTCTAACACAAACAAAGCTTATGCAACGTAGGAGTGACGCCCACGACGTGCATCGCGGAACCGAGCGTATCTTACAACTTGCGCTTTACTCTTTATAATACTGTTAGTGTCGAATTTCTGGCCGAAGTCGAAGCCGATTCATCCGATATCGCCACAACCTTCGGCTGAAGCCGAAGCCGAAGCCGAACGTTTAAAAACCCTAAGAAATTCAGTTCAAGATTGGCTAAAATTAATAATGTAAATTATCTTAAAACTTTCAATTAAAGGTTGTTTATATTGACTTCTCTAGAAGTTGATTTAGAGATGATAAACATTGCGTCGCCAACGTCTATCGCGCTCTCGCTCATTTAATTTTGTAATAGTTCGTTCAATAGCGGCGCTTGCTCAAACCTTCGGCTTCGGCCAAAACATTAGGTTTTTTGGCCGAAGGCGGCCGAAACCGAAGCCGAAGGCAAAGCTAAAGCTTCGGTCGGACACTAGATGTTGTATTATCATCATACAAACAATATCGTTCCTCGAGTGACATGTGACCTGCGCCTGTGCCTGCGCGGTGTATCGTGAACGCTCCAGTTGCTTGTATATTTGTATACACAAGTGTCGTTATACCACATTGTCTATTATTTAGCGAGCGTTAAGGCATTCACGGCCAACGACGCACATAGTTTACCCATTTTTTTTTGTTTTTAGTAGTCTCGGACCGCAAGGTTTGTTTATCCATGGTCAATTGTATGTACTCTAAAATATAAGTACAGTAGACATTTCTGTTAGAGTGCTGTAGCGGCTTTTGGTAAAAATATAACAAGAAACATTTGGCTTATGTACCTGATAAGTTTTATATTTAAATTCCTTAAGGCGAGGATGTCCTCCCTTCTCCGCTGCGTGTGTATTTGTCCAGCACGAAGTAAGCGTGCAACGTTAGGGTTGACAAAAAGTTACTTTGTTTGAAGCGTTTTTGCTTATTATCAGGAAATAAAGCATTTCAATAAAAATGTTGCCGAAGAAGAATCTAATTCAACAACGTGCCTTTCATATTATCATACAATATTATAAGGTTTATTGCTTTAAAGCCGAGAACTCGAATGTAAAAGTTTTTTAATTATAATAATATAATTTTTTATCTCGATTAATATAAAGTATTTGAAAAATCAATTCAATTAAGAATTTAATTGAGTCTTTTTTTCGAGCATATACCATAAGTAATATTGCAAGAAGTATCAATTCTCACGCGTCACACTTTGTATCAAACCTCGTGTAACAAATACCTCTATATCTATACTTACAGTGAGTTTTGCAATAGATATTACTTACTGACATGAACATCGGATTCTCTAGGAGAATGAGAATCAGATGTAAGTCAATGGAGTGTGTTCAGAGACCGATCGCCTCGTCGACCCCCGACTAGGACACGTCATATTCAAGAAATATTATCGTATAAAATCTCACCATGACCTAGGAGGCTATTCTGCATTATAATCAAAATGTGGTCTGTTCAAGATTGAAACAGCTCCGTAATAACGTTGTACGTCACGTTTTGAACAAGTTACAAACCAGTTAATGAATATAATTAAACAATCGTTCGATATAACTGTGTACTGTGTGTGTGGGTTTTGAGGTTACAAGTGTTGGAGAGTAAAAGTTGACCGCGATCGATTGCGGGCAATGCTTGTTATGTAAAATTGATTAGGTGAAATAAACACGAATGTATCCGAATACTATAAGGATATAGTTGATTTTAAAGTGTTCAGTTGTTGTTTTTATACGTGGACTATATGTTGACATATATAATGTATAATGTCTACACAGATGTCCGACCGTCCCATAACCCTTTAAAACAAAACGCAATAAATGACAGTGAGTGCACTGCCGCTCGGCTTGTCGGTAGAGAGGGATACGAGGCTAGTAACTAACTACAGAGACGTACTCCTATTGAGAGAGGAGCTCTATTGAAGCTCTCTGCGGGAGAGGAAGTTGAGTTGCGTTCTGTCGGCTGCGTCCGCTCCCCACCCGTCGACGTGCTACTAAACTGAAATAACCAGCTTCTACCTCTACGAAATGGTAGAAAATCATGGTAGGCGGTGAAGCAATACTGGAGCTATATTACCTATGATTGTAGTACCAATGGGTCGGCTCCGCCGAGAAAGGACCACGCTCTCACAGAATACCAGTGTAAAATTGCAGCTGAATTCTGCTGTTTCGTGTTGTGAAGTGAGGAAGTGAGTGGTAGCGAACCGGAGACCGAAGACTTTTTTTACTGGAAACAAAACATTATATTATAGGCCTCAGTGGTGACAACGCATGCTATATCTAGGTATATCATGTATACATATAAATAAAATTGAAGTGTCTGTTTGTAATAATACTTCATTAATTGAGCTAAGGGGATTATTTCCACCATAGCGGAGATTATTTCTCCTTATTTACGGAGGCCCACTTCTGTCTGTTTTCGACGCCTCGGCAGTCTTGAAGGTACGGACCTGTCCCACGACGTACATTCAATTACTTCTGTTGCTTTTTCCATTGTGCCTCCTTATGAATGTATACAATAGTCAGCTGCGTTTGCGCAAAGTGACAGTTTATTGCAATCAGTTAAACATTTTTTTAACCAATGAGGCAAAATTGACGTTACTAGACATTCTGCTTGTAGCCGACCGGAAAGACATTAACTATGAATGTATATATGCTAACAATTTGTACACAACGACCGGCGGTTTCTAGACCAGTGTGTTATTAGACCAACTCCGCTACCGGTATACGCTGGCTTTATTATAGGTTAAGGGTGACAAACGAGCACACAGTCCACCTGATGGTAAGTGAATATAGTGGCTTATAGACATCTACATCTATCCTCGATTAAGAGTCAATATTATATAAAATTGACGGCTCCGTGACGCAGTGACTTAGCAATGCGTTGCTGTGCTGGGGGGCGCGGGTTCGAAT